TTATGACCAGTTACGACTTCAATGGTCTGTCAACGAATATTTACTCTGGATTTGAGCCCTCCAGATTTCTAAGACATACTCAGCTGAAATCTCAGGACGTCGTGGGACGTAAACGTTATATGTGGTGAACATGCACTGTGATGTTGAATTCAGTGGTAACCATTTATATTCCAGTGTATCGATCACGGCTCAAAATAACTCAGTGTTATCTGAGTCTAGCTTATTAATCATTAATTCCATCATTTATTCAGTTACTGATTGCATTTGTATTTCGTTTGATTGATTTTTTTAATTTGTTTGTTTAAATTAGCAGATATTACCAATGTGACTATGACCAGCAACTTCACAGGTCCAGCTAATAGGACATTGATAATCTACTGCTTTTCAGTCAACCTCACAGCTGTTTCTTTTTCTTGGACCAAAGACTCTGTGACCCTGCAGGCTTCTTACCGCATGAAGTTTGACGTCAACAGCATGTCTTCTGTATTGACCATAAGATTTACCAAGAAGACTGATTCAGGGAACTACACATGCAAAGTCAGGTACAATCGACTCTTCTCTTAATTGAAGTAAAGCTGTCATCGAGGAGTGAAAAATAAAAAGGTGCCGGAAAGAACAAGTTTTTAATGATGCCAAAATCAGTCTAGGATTCCATTCATCGCACTTTTTTTCATGCTATGAGTGTAATAGCGGAGTTTTAATGCGCGAAGCGCGCAAGCGATGCCTTATACCAAATAATATCCAATTCATGATATTCTTATACTATCATCCAAGATAAAAACAGCCGGAACCTCAACTGTTGGCAAAAGCAAGGGGAAAAATAACGTTTCAAAGGCAGGAAAGGCTAAAAGCATTTCCTTATGACGGTTTTTTGGCTCCATCTTGAACCCTGAAAGCTTCCAAGAGTTACTTGATTTTTCCAAGCCACTTATGATACTTACCTATCATTTCTTCATCTTTTATGTCTATAGCAACTCGCAAATAATTCTTGAAGAAACGATAGCTGTGAGTGTATCAGAGCCTCCAAGGGTACATATCAGTCCCCTTGTAAAAACTTTGTTTGAAGGTACGTCATCATGGTGACACGTAAACGTCTGAGTAGTCCATATTCCTGATGGTAATAGAATTCTCCATACTTGACAACCAATCTGTATTGTTCTGTTTGTTCAGACGAATTCGACGTTGCTCTTAATTTAAAATTTGATTCACTGTTCTCGTCGACCTATATGTTTCTAGGGAGAAATGATGGTGTTTGTAATTAAAAGATTGAAACTTCAGTATAAAAAATAACCGATTTTAAGTGGGTCGTGATTACTTTTGTACACCAGCAGGTCTGCTGCGAACGTGGCGTCATGTAAAAGTGCTTTATACGACGTATTTTTTTCGTTTCAGCGGACAGCGTCTCTTTTCATTGTCATCTGTTACGTGGTAACATATCACAGCTACACGTCACTTGGTACGAAAAGGCGGGAGACAATCCAGAGAAACTCTTGAGCGACAAAAACGACTCCCTGTCACTTAATCTTAAAGGAACTCTGCCAAACAGAAAGGACAGTCGCGTGTCATTTTACAGATGCCTTGTGCGAAATAATGATGGAGTAGGTTCCAGTCCCTTAGCCAAACTAGTAATACTACGTAAAGGTGCGTTAAGGAGGTTTCTGAGCTGTGCCATTTGTTGAAGTTCGTTCATTACACTGTACGGTGATAAAACTGTTTCCTGCGTAGGATATGAAGCTATTTGTGCAAGTGAAGAATCCCATGGAGTCACGTGGTCGGTGACGTTGGCCGGGATGATTGACGAGCAGCAGTGTCCTTATGCTATTGGTAAAAATAATTTTACTGACTTTTGAGACTTAATGTAGCTACGTATCTGTTTTTACATATTTTCTGAGTGTCTAATGATTATGTTATTACTACCCAGGACAAGCAAGGAGAAGCTGCATTAAGACCGGCCCAAAATCTGCAGAGTGGGGAGAAGTCGACCTTTCAGACTGCACGTCGCTTCATGTAAGAGAAATACATGAGGAGGTAAGGAGGCCCGAGCATCGATCATAATGTAAAATAATTTCGGAATGTTTGTTACCCAGGAACTTTCTTTTCAGAACATTGAGTTTTCAGAGCAAGAAGATTTCTTTTCTTTTTTTGATCTTTTCCGAAATATTTTTGAGCCTGTTTTACTTCATCTATGCCTCTGATCTCCGTTAACACCTTCCTTCCCATGATAGTATATTGCGTTTCGTGAGTGTCTCATTTAAAAGACAGTGACTACTACTCCACTCAGAGGCTGTTCTTTTTTCCCATAATCCTGTAGGTAATAGCACTGACAGAGGGTTACACAGTTAGTAGAACTTTAAGCAATATGCTCGAGGATCTTCTAAACGCCAGTAAACCTTACGCGGCCCCAAGTCTGGAAGAGAAACCGCGCTCGATGTACGTGAAAGATCTGGCAACTTCTGTTGATGCACTAACAAGAATGATAAGGTACAATGCTGGACAACGAGAGAAGCCTCTGAGCAATAACCACGACATCAGCAACTTAGTAAAGACTTCCAGCAACTTACTGAAACTTTCCAATTTGCCAGCATGGAAGAATGCGCTTAAGGTATTGACAAAGTGTGTACCAATCTTGAGGTTATTGCGACAAGCCCCATGATCTTCCTCTTACATTTTCCTCTTCCGCAGTTCCCTTTAATAAATTATATTTTATAGCAAATTTTATAATTTTTTTCTTTTCGACCTTGGTGATTGAATATTTCTCCTTTGTCACACGCTGGTAACAAAACTATTAAGTTCCTACGTATCTATGAAACTTTCAGCTCTTGGCTGTTAATGTAGTTTTAGTGTTTAATATTCTTGTCTGTGTTCTAAGCACAAATTATATCAACATATGTTAATACTGGATACCTGTCTTTGCAGCTCAACAAGGTTATCTCAGGCAGCTAGATACCAACCCCTAGTTTTATCAATATAGATAAACCAAGCCTGTTCTCGAATGGGTGCATATTCGTGGAAGTATTTTGTTGTTGTCACTTTTGTTGTTTTGTTTTTGTACGTGGTGCTGCTGCTGTGATTGTTTTTGTTTGCCAGATAAATACAGATTGGATGTTTCTAACTCGTCAAAAATGATCAATAATTCCTTCATCTTCTCTCTTTTTCCTCAGACCACCAGTGACCTAGCGTACCAAATGATCTCAGCTATTGATGAGTATGGCCATCATTCCATTAACAAGACAATTGATATCCACATAGAAGCTGCTAACGTTGTTTTGATTGCAGTCAAAGTTTCGGTCAACAGTTCTGTAAGTGAAGTTGGTAAAAGGCAATATTTTAATTTAATTCAAAGAATACACTCGAAATTTATCCTTATCCCCAAAGTATAAATTTGAGCAAATGTCTAAGGCTGCGGAAAATCTTCTCCTCGGAGAAATTATGAGAAGAGGTTTTTACATTTTCTAGTGATAAGCATTTTCTAGCACTCAAAAACTGCATGCAAGCATGGCGTCAAATTTGTGTCAACTTGAATGGAAACAATTTTATAGGAAATAGTGGGAGACATCTACAGTTTTCTATTTTCCTTTATCGCCTGCAGACCTCCGCGAAAGGCATTCAAATAACTCAGGGTCAAAGCTCACTTGCTCTTCCACCGACGCTTTTCAGCCAAAGCAACTCCTCAGTGACTGTGGTGAGCGTGTTTTTCTCTACTCTGGGTCAAATTCTCACTAGCTCCGAGGCTCTAAACATTTCCTACTCCAGTGGATCTGATTGGCTCATCAATTCACAGTTGGCGTCAGTAACAGTCAGGCCAAGCCCACCTGATGTCATTCAACCACCCTTTAAATTGGCGCTTGAGACGAACAAGGTAACCCATTAATTGTTGTCAACTATATTGATGGTATTTTTCGGTTAGTTTCGACTGAATCATGTTCAGAAATAATTCATTTTTCTATTCATATAGGTGGCTCTTGCCGGAGCCAAGAGAGCTTGTGTATTTCTGAACTTAAGAACAAAAAATGACACAGCTTGGTCAACAGACGGATGCAATGTTGTCTCCTCGCACACAAACAGAACAACTACAAGCTGTGCGTGTGATCACATGACCGTCTTTGGAATACTGATGGAAATAAATGATTACAAGGTAACATCTGATCCTAATTTATAACCCAAATCGCCAACGTGTTCTAGTCTGCGGCTTAGATGTTGGGGTACCCAACCGCGAAGTCGAAACTGGCTTGGGTAAAAGTTAAGGTTACCAGGCTTTCGATGTTATTGCATTGCATTAGAAACGAACATGGTTGATTTGAAATCCATCAACCATTCCTACGATTTAAAAGCGTGGTGGCAGACATCTCCTTCCCATGGAAAAGGTTCTAAAGGCAAAATCATGCTGCGCAAAGCTGCGATTAATGGACTTACGAGGCAAATATTATCGTAGTACTCGTTTGGCCCGTTTTGGAACTGCGCGTAGTGGAGTTGACAGCCAGAAACGAGAAATATTGCATGGTTGAATCCGCTAACGCACCAATAGCCACTTTCATCCCGCAGGCAGTTCACATCCTTCCTAACTTCTGGGAAAGTAAGATTGCTACATGCAAAACGTTTACCCGCAGTTTGCCACAAAAGGGTGGCAACCTCATCATCAAATAAAGAAAAACACGACAAGTTTCGTGAATTTAATTGGTAATTCCCTGGTGCAATATTCTTGCCACGTAATAAATCCTTTATTTACCAAACTTGTTCGGTTAAGTTGGCGGAGCATTAGCCGTCTTGGTTCATAATAACGCAAAAAAATAAGTTGGCAAATAGTTAGTCCTCTAAACCCGATGTTTGTGTAGTAACGCACATAAATTATCTTCGTTGCAGAAAGAAGATATCAGGCACCGCGCCGCTCTCTCATGGATATCCATAGTCGGTTGTCTGCTGTCTCTCGCTGGGATCCTGATCACATTGTTGATTATGGTTTGTTTCTGGAAGAACATGCGCTCCCCAAGAACAACAGTTCTCGTAAATCTCTGTGTTGCCATAGCAGTGACAGACGTATTAGTGGTTACCATGGAGATTATTGATTTGGAAAGCAAGGTTAGTGTCTGTCACTTGGAACAAACCATTGATACAGTTATGAAGTACTTAAATTATATAAAAAAAGTCAGGCTTGAGGTAATTCTTCGATCGGGAGTTTTATCTCCCTGTCATTTTTAAAATTCCTGAGGTTTGGGCAGTTTGAGGTTAGGATTGCATGACTAACTTTCATGAATATGATCATTTATTAAATAAATAGCAGCCAAGAAATCCTTACAGTGCCACGTTTGAATCATAAAAGATTTAAGTTAAGAAAAGTACATTAAAAACAAGAACCAAATCCTGATTAACACCATAAATATTATTTGTAGAAGATGGTTTTCAGTTGCAGCATTTCTCTTTTATTTACTGATTTGTTTTCCTTACTCTCCAGACCGGATGTAAAGTCATGGCTGCCCTTCTCCACTTCTCTTTTCTCTCCATATTCTGTTGGATGTTGTCAGAGGGGGTTCTGCTGTATTTCTCCCTTGTTAAGATTATTGGAACGACTGTTTACGCCAATGTTCAAGTGTTTTACGCTCTTGGGTGGGGTAAGGAATTTAGGTCTGATTTGTCACAGTATGTTGTAGTTCAGGTGTACTTCTGTAAGTCCTTGAAACCATGCGAATCATGCAACAAATAACACCTGCACTAGCCCAAAAAAAGATTTTTTTTCTCCATACTGTGTTCTATACATTTCCTAAAGTGCTGACAAAGAGAATTTGTTTAACAATCAAGAGCTTTTTCAGTCGGGATAATTTGCTTTATTCTCCTGACTTAACCGTGTGATTTAGGGGTGATATTGTAGAGAGAGATTAGATGCTAGTCAGCGGTTAAAGGGTTATGCTTAGGATGTTCCCTTACTGAATCGTCTATCATAGTTTCATGCACAATAATCACGCTACTTGGCAGAGTTTGTGAATAGCCGTCACTCGTACGAATCTACAACGTAAGAAATAGAAATTTTTGTAATTTAAGTAAGTTAAACTGATCATTGTGAATTGTTTCAGGTCTTCCTGCTCTCGTTGTATCACTTACCTTGATTGTTACTCAGGGTCGAGGTTATGCTGATAGGCAGTCCTGTTGGTTGTCCACGCGAAATCACATGATATGGGCTTTTGCAGCTCCTGCGCTTCTCATTGTTTGCGTAAGTTTTCATTACCTCTTGTGTTAAAGAAACGAGAAAGGAGAATTTGTTTTTAGCAATTAAGAGCCTCTTTAGTTTTTGATCACTTCCTCCTCTTTTCTTGTGACCTTGATGTCTATTTCGGGCGTGATATTGTGAGGAGAAACTGGATGCTAATCACTCTTAGAGGCCAAAGGGTCAATAATGACAGTGAACATATGGGAAACTATATCATTAAAACCGACAAAATTAAAATTATGTAAGAAACATGGCATCCACGAATCAGTTAACCGGAAGTTGACAACCTTTATCATTTCATTCCAGTAAGCCGATGACAAAATGTCATATTTTTTCTTCTCAGGTGAATATCGTGGTCTTTACTCTAGTTATCTGTAGCATGCTGTCAAGCCATCGGCTCAGAAAAGAACCTCTGACAAGAAGATTCCAACGTGGGCTCAAGGCCTCATTTGTCCTTTTCCCTGTTCTTGGATTGTCGTGGTCTTTTGGTGTTTTAACCATGGTCACCGATGAGATCGTATTCAACTACATCTTTGCTGTCTTAAACTCGCTGCAAGGATTTCTCATTTTTATCTTCCACTGTGTTTTAAACAAGCAGGTACGTGTTGGGTGACGTTTCACCGTGCACCACCAAAAGCCAGACTGCCTTGGCCACACCGGTTTCTTTAATAGAGTTTCCCTTACGTTTGGATAAAATTCCTTCCAGCTAATGAATGCAATCTAGGAAGTGACTGATCCAGCCAAGCCGCGCTAATTAGCGGCAAAACTTCCTTTAAAGAGAGTCTAGCCGGTCTTTTCTAGCAAATGGCAAGTGCCCATGAATTACCCAAAATTGAATTAATGTAACTGTAGATGCCAGCTCATCTCAGGAACCAGTAATTGCCAATTGAGGCTTATACTAATAAAAAGCGCCGTGTTCTGAGAGTCTAAGAGACTTGAGTGTCTAACTTTAAATGCTCGGGCCGGAAAAACTGGAATCAACATCGATGATACCTTAGTGCGTTCACAAAAAGTGGAAAGACTCAGTGAATTGATTATCATAAATAGCTATAAAGTTTGTTTTTAAATCTCAATTCAGCTTCGAGAAGTGTTGACGGAGAGAAGAAGAAAACGAACAGGTCGTGTAACAGACGCCAGGATAGCACAGTCGAACAGGAAACTCAGTACAACAACAGGAGGTAAACATCTGAGAGTATGAGATTGTCGATAAAATGTTGTGAGGGTATGCTTCGCCTTGGGTCGCAAACTTTTACTCTTTAATGTAGAACATTTTGGCTGAAAGAGTACCCCATATACTTCTTGTTAAAAAATGGCATCTCTTTTGTGCTGGGCACCCCTCAGAACCCATCATAGCAGCCCTTCGCTATCGAAATTATTCTCGTGGAACGGAAAACTTAGAAGTCAAGTTACATTAAAACGAGAAAAACTGCGGGGATCTTGTAACATATTTTAAAAGGTGATAAATCATCAAGCTGCATATTGTGATCATGATCTGACTAGCCTCCTGACCTCTCTGAAAATGAAATTTCTTCTTACGAACTTTTGTTATCCGATACGAGGATTGTAAGACGCTCTGTAGTCTTATTGATGATGAATCAGACTCTGATCGAAAGACGATTTACTGTGCTTTGACTAATATGAATTCTTTTTCAAGTGAAGACAGCTGCACGAGTCCTTGAAGTATGAAGCTCATTTTACTTGTTAAAAGCATTAAGGATACATATATTTTTTTCTTTACATGTTTAGCCCCCAACAGTCGCCTCAGTTCAGCCACTCCTCTCAAACTTCTAAATCTTTACCAGCACAGCCCAGAAATTTCACCCTCACCCCGGCCCTCTCCGACCTCGTGTGCCGCGCGTGCCTTCGAGGAAACGTCACTGGTGTCAGCAAGCCTTGATACGACTCGAGTGAATCAAAACAACTTGCTACAGACTGGGAAAGGTAAAGAGAAAAATAACACGAAAAGCCAAGGTATTAGCTCATGAAAAGAATCTTATTAGAAGGTAAAATTATGCGACTTTTGTAGCATCGAAGTTCAGTTAGGCAAATAAGAATTTAATCTGCCATCAAGGGACATACTCGCGTTATGTGCACCCTGGATGACTCAGTAAAGATGAAATTTAGGCTCACGAGGTGTTATAGGAGAGGCGCGCTTCCTTTGGTTCTTGCTTTCCTTTGAGTGATCGATTCCAGTCTTCTCTCACTCTAAAATACGCGAATAGGCGGATCGCGACTGGGCAAGGAATAATCCAGACATGTGACAGGTACGAGTTCGCTCCCATTCCTTAGTTAGTTAGCAGGCAAATTTTTAGTTAAAAATGCTCATTACAAAGAAAAATGTCAAATATATGTAAGTAATATCCTCATGTCTGATAACACACAACTTATGGTAGTATATGCACATCATTGTGAACAGGATGAAATATGTTGTCAACGACACGACATGTCTCAAGTAAACTTGCGGGCATAGAAGTTTCCTTTTCTCGACGGAGTGTTATGAAATCAAAACCAGAGTAAATAAAACGGCCTATCAGAGAGGATGAATATGTCAAGAGAGCCAATCAGCTTGAAAACAAGCACGCCGCTGGAAGCGTGGAAAACACAAGCAACTAAGTCGCAACTGGTTCTTGTTTTGCAACTGATTGGTTGAGACGCTGGGCGAGCTTTGAAGACCAATCTTAGAGTCAGAAAGGAAAACTTGTGAAGGAAAACTTATGATGAAAAATTGCCAATGCGTGTAAATTTGACTCTATTTAATGTCCTATTGTTTTGTTATTTGTTTCGTTTTGTTTTTTTCGTTTTTTTTTTTGTTTTTTTATCATCATTCAGAGACTTCTGAGCAAGTAACTTATCTAACAACGACGGATGAATCTTTCAAACCTTGTGATGTGGATGAGAGGGACTGGACAAGCCTGGAGTCATCTTCTGAATCTATAATCGATTTCAATGCCGACGGAGAGTTCAAGGTAAGTTGGGTAAAACACGATTGAGAATTGAAGATGGAAAAGAAAACACTCCTTTGAATTCTTTCGAAGGCTAGCAAGCGTGTTTAAAGAGACGTGAGAATTCTCCATCTTAATTCAAACTTACAAATGTTCGCGTACTAAACTCAAAACCTATAGAAACTAATAATTCTAGAGTACGCAATTTTATGTCTATACGCAAGTATAGACATAAAAGTCGTTGGAAATTATAACATATCTAAACTTAGTCAATAAAAACGTACTTTGAGTCACGCTCATTCAGAAAAATAATCATAGCATTCCTTTTGTTATTTACCCACTCTTTATTACTTTTTTATCAGGGAAACAAGTAATCCGTAGAGCATCCCAAGAAACTTTTTCTCCGTAGCAGTTGGTAAATCGGATCTGTAGGACTTCAGACTTTACGTGTCATTTTCCAACAACGTGGAGTCTGTTTCCCGCATGTTACTTACAGAATGTAGGTAACATACTATTCTTCCCCTCTGTTATCTTTTTGTTAGAATTAATTTTGTATGCGGAAGGAAAGGTGAAAATATTGCGCTGAAGCCATTTTAAGATAGTTGATGAAAAAGATTGCTTATTTGACTTCCTACAGTTCAATTCGTTCCCCTCGTTTCAGTGAGATATATTTATAAATCTAGACATTTCGTCAGCTCGTATGGCACTTCCGGAAGTGTCTTCTGCTATCTATAGCATTTGACACAACTTGATATTTCACGTGATATTTCACGTGATATTATACGTAATTGAAACAACATTCTGTGCTGATAATTTTAGGGCTGACTTGCCAAGAATAGCAGCAAATCAAAACTGAAAGCTCAGTTTCAGTCACACGAGCAAAACTGAATCCTTATAATTACAAAGATAAAAATTCCAAAATAGATACCTGATGTCACAAGTTAAATCAAATTACAGCGTTCTTGTGTTTTGATAAGTCGGCTTTTTTTAAGTACAAAATTTCATCATCTTACGATGATTTCGAACAATACGTATCCTTAGTGGGGAGGTATGTAGCTTTTTATCAATCTTTTTTGACCTTGTTCCTAACCAAAGAAACTTAACATCGATTCTGCGCCAAATTCGATCCCGTACGTTCTCAATTAAATGCAGGATTTAGTCCAAATTGATGTCATCTTGTTTGTTGTATCAATCCTTTCTTTTTTGTCGTCTTTTACCTATCCATCCGTTTATCTATTCAATTTCTCTATTGCTTTAAATCTGATCCAATTGTTATTGTTATCGCTTTGAAGCGATGCGCCGCAGCGAAGAGTTTCGAAGCAATATCGCCTTATTAGGTTTTTCAAATATTCCTTTTCAATCAGAGTCACGGTTCGGACCGAGATACAGCCCTGATAATAGAAAAATCAAATCGATTTAACGCCTCTGTCGTAATTGGATAGTCTGTAGAGTCTATTCCTTGCCTTGATCGATTGCAAATGAACCGGATAGCATTGGATTTTTATCAGAAATGCTAAAACACTTTTAATCCAGTGAAAAGTTTGTTTATAAAAGTGAACCTAAGCTTTCAAGGAACAACATATGTGACATTCTCGTCAACAAAAGAAGCTTTTATTATTATTTATCGACCCTTCGGTGTTTCCTTTGAAGTGGACTGATATTGATGCAGGAACAATATTTAAGCTATCCAAAACAATAAGTCCTCATTACAATACTATTTTTTTTTCTAAAATCTTATACCCCCTGCATCTTGTATTTGTTTGTAACCCACTCGTTTTATCCTCAAGAAAGAAACACTGGTGTAAAGGTAAAAAAAAATTGTTGACTCCATCTCCTAAAAAATCTTAATGAATCAAAATCTGTTAAGTGCTCACTCAAAAGAAATTTTAAATTTTTGACACACTTAACTGACCACAGTCGATATCATAAATGTTGGAACAGTTCTTGGTAATACGTGCGCGTTGTCGCACAATTTTTCACGGTCTGTCAGAGACGGTCATAGGTGACAGGGTATTACATCAAAGGGCCAACATGTTCGTGACGTTTTAAACCTTTCGCAGAATTTGCTTGAACTTGAGAAGCGTATCGTATATAGTCTACGTCAAACTCCTCTCTCCTTCGCTGATCCCTGTACGTCTTTTTCTTATCATTTCACACAGATGTTTACTGTCCTATTAACCTATTATTTAACTTCGTCACATAAAATTTCATCACTAAAGAGATATCACTGTCGCAGGAATTGGCGTGACGGAAGCAATTATCATAATTTCATTACGCGCTTCAAAGAAACTTATCAGTGATGAAGCAGAAGTTTATTGCGTGTTTTCTCAAGGTTAACTGAATAGTTCTGTTGATATTACCTAGGAAGCCGAACTTTCGTGTAGGATTTCTTTGCAATCTGACTTGCTAAAATTGTTTTTCGAAGGAGGTTCGAACCAAGCATACAATTTCAAAGTCTAAATTTTAATCAGTGTTTTGGGCTCTAAACATGATTAACCTGCCCTACTCTAAATTCGTTCATTCCAGAAATTTTCTGTGATCGAACACTTGAGGTTGATTTCGTTGAAGATGACCTTGGTTTTCGTGTATCAGTTTTCCGGAAGCCGCGGCAGTGAATCAAGTCTTTGTAGGAGAAGCGAAACTGCTTGCTGCAAAAACAGTAGATGATGGGATTCACTGCAGCCTGTCCAAAAATCATTATTTGACTTAGCCGCCACACAGCATCTCCGTTATACACGTAAAAGTACCTTAGAGTGCGTATTATCATGAATGGCCCATAGCAGATGAAAAATACAAGAGTTACTATGGCCAACATTTTAGTGACTTTCTTCTGTTGAAGTCTATCTCTGGAATCCGTTCGAAGACTGACTCTTGTCCTCGCATGGTTCGAGAGATGCTGAAAAATTCTGAAATGCGCCCAGATCATAAATCCCAGAGGTAACAGAAATAGAAGCACAGCTTGGATTGCGTAGTAAATTTGTCTTCCATCATCTCCCATGTAATCGTTGAGGCATAACGACGGGCCACTTTTTTCATCTCTTTTCACGGAATACGCGTACAGCAAAGGAGTACAGGACACAATTCCAATCACCCAAATAATCTTGAGAATTAGTGAACGGTTATCAGTCGACTGCGCACGGGCCAAGACGGGCGAAGAAACAGCTTTCAGACGCTCGTAGCTGATTGCTACTAAGGTTAGAATAGAGACAGTATAGCAGGACTCGATGAGAAAACTCTGAATCTTGCACACGGGATCTCCGCCGAACCAGTCACCATGACCAATGAAGGCGATCAAATCAAAAATGGATAATAACGTAAACATTAAGTCGGCCAAAGCTAAACTTGCGATGAAGCACAATAACACGGAGGTCGTCACTTTGTAAGTCTTGTAGCATGTTATGAGCGCAAAAATGTTTCCCACAAAAGCCAGTGTAAAGATTGTGGCATACAGACAATAGAATATGTTCATCATTAAAGGGGACATCTTCTCGATTTCTTCAATTGTGGTTGAGTTGTCTTCATTGGCGAGGGTTGAGTTGAGAGAATTCATTTTTCAGTTCCTTTTTCAAAACAGCGCAGAACTATTTGTATTGTAACGTTTAAGACGGAATCTTTTATGCGGAAATAGCTGTATAAATTACGTAGGTTGATTGACTTAGCTCAGAGGGTGTGTCAAATGAACTTCCTGTCACGATCTTCTGTCAGCCAATCACTTCGCGCCTATTGCCAATAACATTATATTACCGATGACAAATACCTCTCTCTTTACTCCAAAATAAAAGCTCAAAGTGGAATCGATTTGAATCCATAATATAATGTTTCGATTTTTTTTACCTCACGGGATGTATCCGTCTCAACTCAGATTACCTTCCTGTTTTAGCGCTTTTCAAGTTGTTCTTGACTTCCGCGCAAGCTGACACTAACAGTGTTGGCAAACAGGGCAACACCACAGCCTGTAAAATACCAGCCTGACATAAAAATTCTTCCAGTCCATAGTTTAATAACAGGACGACCCTGCCA